AGCGGAGTTGGGCCGTTGATAACTGGTACCGAGCGCACCCCTGTCGGGGCAGCGTGCAGGCCCCTGGCCGCGCTGGACGCTCGGGTGCACCCCTCTAGTGCTCAGCCCGAAAACGTCCACACTCCCACTTTCCGCCCGCGGGAACGGGAACCCAGGGGAGGCCTGCTCGAGGACACGTCCCCGGGAAGGGGCGCCGTGGAACCCCGAGGCCGCCTGCGCCCCAAGGAGCCGCGGTGCCCAGCGAGGACAGCCTGCCAGCCCGGCTGGTGCCATCCACCTCGGGCGGGAAGGGCAGGCGACACGGCGAGGCTCGCCAGGGTCTCCAGGGCTGCCGCCATCCGCCCGCAGGGCGCGGACCCTGCAGCTCCGACTCGCCAGCTTTGGCTGCCACCCGCCTCCGTCCCCCTGAGAGGACCGCAGCACCAGACCCGTCGCCATGGCCCAAGACCCGGAAGTCCCGCCCCACCCGCGTCGCGCCTGCTGCCTTCTGGGTAGTGCGGTAATTGTCCAGCTTCCGGCCTGGCGGGGACTCCCTTCCGGTTCCGCTGACCCGCGGTTCCCAGGTCCGCCGCGCGGCCTCGGGTATTCTGAAAGGGACGCACCGAGTTCCGCTCCACCCCTTCCGCTCGCCCTCTTCTCCCCGGAAGCGCCGACATTTGTGCTCGCAGATGGCGCCGGGAGTCCCACATAGACTGTCTAGCTCTGAAGGCTGGTGGTCACAGCGACAGAAAGGCTAAAACAAGATGATGGTTGAGATTAAGGAAAAATTCTGTTTACATCGCAAAATTTCTAGAAAGTTTGAACAACCAACGTTTGTTGATTGAATATGGGGTATGAATAAAAGAGAGAAGTCAATTGAGACCCCAAGATTCTTAGCATAAGTGGCTTAAAAGAATGACGTCGCTGGGCTGGGTTTCATCCTCAGCACCAATAAGTAAGTCAATAAAATAAAGGCATGCTGTCCATCCCCAACTATATAAACATATATATATATGTGAAATCGCCATCGTGAGAGACGGAACCGGCGCAGGGGAGCAGGTGTGGGGGCAGAGCTCCAGTGTCCCACGTGTGTAGGACTTCAGTTCTAGTGGCCTCCGGGTGACTGATGCAACAAAAATAGAGTTTAAAACTGTATGTGTAAAAAGACGTAGTTAAAATAAGTAGAAATTAAGCAATTCAAGAAGTAAATATTCTACTTATAGCTGCATGGGACACAGATTCTTATTCTGAATGCAGGTGAGGTCAAATGTAGAATAGAGTAATACTTTAAAAAGGGTGGTCACACCAGATTTCCTGGTTGTGTGTTCTGCGTTGTTTTTTCCTTTTCTTTAGTGGTATTGGGCATTATACTCCGGGGCATTTTACCACTGAGGCACATCCCCATCCCTTTTTTTGTTTCAATTTTGAGACAGGGTCTCAGTTGCTTAGTGCTGAGGCTGGGATCGACCTTGCTACTCCTCTGCCACAGACTCCAGAGTCATTGGGATTACAAGCATCACCAAACCAGGCATCAGATGCTGCTGATGGAACAAGTGGGTAAGTCGTATGGTAAAACTTTAAAAATTCATATTATTTTGATACCTCAACATCTCCCATCAGGCTGTGAGCACCCATCCCAAGTCCTAGAGTGTATCCATGTGATAAGGCTGGCCCCTGCCACAAACTCCCCTGTCCACCTCTCCTGTGACATTCAAACCCACCAGGAAAAACTCTTCCGTCTTTTTACTTGCAATACACCTGGCTACCCCACTACCACTAGCTCCAGGAATGCATTTTCCACGGACCCACCCATTCTCAGATCCTTACCTGCTTTGCTTAGTGTCAGCCACCAACACCTCCCCTCCCCTAGTCCTTTCCCATGTTGTCCCTCTGGTGTGCTATGACCCCTATTATAGGACCTGTGAGTATCAAACACCTTTCCCGTCTTTTCTATCTGAATGTTAATTGCAGAATAAGTGGTCCTAGAAGACCCAACAAGGACCCCCTCTCTGTCCCCACAGAATATCGTTACTTCACTTTGATACAAAATTCTTGTGCTCAGAGCTGTGAACTAATAAACATTTTGTTGCTCCTTTAAAAATTTTTGAACCTAGGGGCACTTTACTGCTAAGCTATTTGCTGAGCTACTTCCCCAGCCATTTTTTTATTTTGAAACAGGATCTTGCTAAATTGCTAGGCTAGCCTCCAATCTCTGATTCTCCTGCCTGAACCTCTCAAGTCAATGGGATTACAGATGTGCTCCACCAGCACCAGCCTTCGTTGCTCTTCAAAATACTGGGCCGCAGCTTTGCCATCATTCTTGTGAGCTTCAGTACGTTGAGTCAGAGTCAAGATAGAATGCACACTGGGATTACCATTGGGGAGAAAACTTTCATGAAAGGTGGAAAGTACTAAAAATACTAAAAAATAAGAGAATGAAATAGCATGAGAGCATGTATTTAGGCTGGGACCTTGGCCACTGAAGATTTTGTACTCAAAATTCAATTTTTAAGTTTTTTGAAATACTGAATGACATTTCTAGGAGAAAGAAGATATTGAGAAACAGTTTCCAATGGGGCAAAAAGGAACAAGGAATTAGGGCCTTCATGTCCATTCACTGCTCCAACATGTTTATTAAGTACTCACCAGACTTCAAGCACTATTGCAGGTGCCTGGGATACACCAGAAAACAAGGGACAATGACTCCTGCTCTCACAGGATTTTGCTTTTTCTTAGTTCAAGTTGCTAAAACAAAATGTAATAGGCCAGATGGCTTAAAAAATAAGAACTTACTTATCATGGTCTAGAGGCTGGAAGTCCAAGAAGAAACACCAACTTTTTTGGTTTCTGGTGAGTTCCCTTAGGTAGTCAACTCTCTGTTACTACACAAAAATTCCTGAGATTATCAACTTAAAAAGAGGAAATGTTTGTTTTGGCTCATAGTTTTGGAGATTTCAGTCCATGATTGATCGGCCCCACTGCTTTCTTGTTTTCTGGTGTGTCCCAAGCACCTGCAATAGTGCTTGAAGTCTGGTGAGTACTTAATAAACATGTTGGAGCAGTGAAGGTATCATGTCTTGCTACAACCAAAAAAAAAAATTTTTTTAAATAAATATACAGATTTACTGTGAAAAATTCAAACTTCAATAAAGCTATTTTATTGTTTACTTATGTTTCACATGGGGTATCACGGTTGTCACAGCTGCCTCCAACTCCTGGGCTCAAGTGATTCCCCTGCTTAAACCTTCCACATGTTGGAAATACAGACATGTATCAACATGCCTGACAATAAAGCTATTTTAAAAAACAAAAGGTATACGTACCAAAAACTCTGACTTCATAACTGGTCTGTCATATGCTCTTGACACTATTTTTGAGTATCCTCTCAGTGTGGTATAAATATAACACAGTGATGTGCTACTGCACATCTCTTCCCCGTCCCATGTAAAGCGACCTCAGCTTGGCAACTTGGGAATGATGGGAATATTCACAGCAGGGAAACTGACAAACACTAAAACAGAAGTTTATCTGTTTCATTGAATGGGTAGACTTAAGAACATTTTGAAGAATATGTTAATAATGCAGATTAGGCTTGAAAATGGTTTGGACTGTCACAATATAAATGGTGCAGAAGAGTTTTTGAGAGCCACAGCCAAAGCGGCCCCAGCAAACTTCCAGCTGATTGGCTCACTGCAGCCCCAGCAAACTTCCAGCTGATTGGCTCACTGCAGAGGAGCCAATCAGCTGGAAGTTTGCTGGGGCCGCTTTGGTGCAAAAAATATTGTTCTAAGATTTAAAGATGGTCTTCATTCAGCAAAAAAGTCACTCATGGGACTGACTGAAGACCAAATGAAGTTACAACACGTCTTTTCTATACATATTTATTTTCAATGAAAATAAGAATATGAATCAACATCCATTAAAAGTAGACTAAGGGTATTAACAAAGATTTTTAAGAAAAAAGGATATAAAGGTGGCAAATAAGAGGTGAAAAAAGCTGTTCAACATTACAAAGCATCACAGAAGTGCAATTACAACCACAGAGAAATGACATTGCAGACTTATTTGCATGGCTAAAATTTAAAACACCAACCCTACCAAGCAGAAGCTTGTCAGGGATGAAGAATGTTCACACACTGCTGTTGGGATCACAATGGACACAACCCGATTAAGTTACAGTTTGCCATGTTTTTTGGTTTGTGTTTGTTAAGTGAAACATTCACTTGAAGTTATTGGCAAAAGAGAAATGTATTTCCTTATTAAAAATTTATACCTATGTTCTTTGCAACTTTGTGAATACCCCAAATTGGGGGGAAAAAAATCACCTACCCCTTAACAGATCAATAAACAAATAGCGGCATGTCCATAGAACAGAATACTATGTAGCAATACAAAGGGTGTCAACATCAATAAAGCTAAAAGTAATTATACAGCACGAAAAATACAAGAAAGAGCAAATAATTTGATTCTTCTCGTGTAAAACTGTAAAAAAAAAAAAAAGCAAACTGATTCATAGTGAAAGAAAGTAAATCACTGGACACCTGAAGGCCTGAGGAAGGCAGGGAGATTATATGAGACAATTCTGGAAACGTTCATTATTCAGATCAGGAATACTTCATGGGCTTGTGTGTGTGATAAACTGGTTCAGATTATGTGTCTTAAATGTATACTGGTTATTGCAGGTCAACTGTGCCTCAGTGTGTGTGTGTGTGTGTGTGTGTGTGTGTGTGTATAGATAAAGAGAGTAAAAGTCACCCAAGTTTTTGGAAACCAGGCATGCCAACCACCTGTTCACTCCAGTACCTCCTTCCTTGTGCCTAGAGAAGGGCAGCCTTAAACTGGGCAGGAGAAAATGGTGAGCAATGAAAGCTATTCTGAGACAGGAGCAGTTGCAGTTGCCAGGCCAAAAAAGAGGGTGGGGGGAACAGCCTTTACCTCTCAGACAAGAACTTCTTATCTCCCCGACTCCACTGCATGTAGGAACTTTCTCCAATCCCTTGCTTTTTTTGGCCTCCTCCTGCTTTTTTTTTTTTCTTTTCCCCATTTAGACTTAGGTGAACAGCCCAGAAAAATGATGAGAACTTGACAAGAGCATGAGTATCTACCGATAATGATCCTGACCACAGTGGAACACAAGATTTGGAAGTAGCATGATCTGTTAGTCCTAGGATCTGGGGTGCACTTTTACAAGTAACACGTTCTGTCTGCCAGCCCTCCACTCCACTGATCACTCCATGTACTTCTGTTCCAAGTGGTGTTCGTACCTGGTTCCTGCACTCTTGTATCAGTGATGCTGACCTATGGCATCATGGATGTCAGACTGCATGACTGTAGAACCCAATGAAGTTTCCCTCAACAATACTGAGTTTTATGGGAAGTTATGTGGGAATAATGAAATAAATTCAGAGTATTTCTGAAAGTACTGAACATGGCCATAACAACTGACGCCTCTTTAAGGTGATCTCTGATCTAAAACAAAAATAAATTCAGAGGCATTGAGGCTCCAAACTAGGACCCCAAAGCCCTGCACTGCTCCAATGGGGGTCTTGGGTAGTAGTTCATGTTAAACAAAACAGAAAGAGAACCACTCTCTGCCACTAAGTTCTTTACTGAGACACAAAATGAAGAGGTCCTATAAAAGCTGTCCATCTTTTAATACAAACAGGACTCATCCATATTCTACCCACCCAAGGCTGTGAACAGAACCCCCTGATTAAAAGTAGATCAAACAAAAGGCCTTTATTAGTCCACAAATCAGAGCAATGCTCAACAGGAAGCTACTGGTTAGTAACTTGAAATCTGTAATCATCAACTACAAGTGTCACATGAGGCCAAGAATTTAATGAAGACTTCCCAAGCCTCCAGCTGAGCCCGGGCTGGGTCCCCTTAGCCAGAACACAGACACACAATAGTAAGAAAAATACTCTCATGGATCAGGTTATTGGAGATTCCCGCTACAGAATAAGGAGAACACAGGCATCCGAGTCTGTGTGTGCTGAGGTGCTTGGGGCTAGATGGGAGACAACTTCTGTGAGAATGTGGCTGTGATTCAACTTTGGTGAGGGCAGCAGTCTAAAATGTTCAGAGCAGCTCCCATCCTCCTCACATGTGCCGCAACTCACAGGGTCCTTCAGCCCTCTGGAAGCATGCAAATACGTGTGGTGACCTCTTTATAAAAGCTCTCTAGTGCTGTCACAGTGAGCAAAGACAGCATATTCCTTTGCAGGTTTAAGGCCTTTCTTGCATAGGCTTTCAGAAACTAAGCAACAGGAGACCCTGGGCTGAGGGATTCCCCATATCTGCTGCTTCTGTGAGGCACTCCCATGGTGTGACATTTTTGGTGTTGAAAGAAGCTTGAGCGTTGGCTAAAAGATTTCCCACACTTGCTGCATTCATAAGGCCTTTCTCCAGTGTGAACTACCTGATGTTGAATTAAAACAGACTTTTGCCTAAAAGATTTCCCACACTGGTCACACTCATATGGTCTTTCTCCAGTATGGATTCTGCAGTGTTGAATAAGGCTAGTGCTCCGACTAAAGGTTTTTCCACATTCCCCACACTTATAAGGCCTTTCCCCAGTGTGAACTCTCTGGTGTTTAACCAGGGCAGCTCTTCGACTAAAAGATTTTGCACACTGGCCACACTCATAAGGTCTTGCTCTAGTGTGAACTCTCTGGTGTTCAACGAGGCTGTAGCTTTGCCTAAAGAACTTCCCACATTCAGCACACTCGTAAGGTCTTTCTCCAGTGTGAGTTCTCTGGTGTCGGTCAAGTTTGGATTTGTATCCAAAGGACTTGCCACATTCCCCACATTCATAAGGCCTTTCTCCAGTGTGAACTCTTTGATGTCTAATGAGTGTAGCTCTTTGGCTAAAAGATTTCCTACACTGGCCACACTCATAAATCTTTGTTGTAGTGTGAATTCTACGGTGTTCAATGAGGCTAAAGTTCTGTCTAAAGAATTTGCCACATTCCCTACATTCATAAGGCCTTTCTCCAGTGTGAATTCTCTGGTGTCTAATGAGGGTGGCTCTTTGACTAAAAGACTTTCCACATTCGCCACACTCATAAGGCCTCTCTCCAGTGTGGATTCTGCAGTGTTCAATAAGGTTGGAGCTTTGACTAAAGGATTTCCCACACTCCCCACACTTATATGGCCTTTCTCCAGTGTGAACTCTCTGATGTATAATGAGAGTAGCTTTCTGACTAAAGGATTTTTCACATTGGCTACACTCATAAGGCCGTGCTGCAGTGTGAATGCTCTGATGTTCAACGAGGCTAAAGCTCTGTCTAAAGAATTTCCCACATTGGCCACATTCATATGGCTTTTCTCCTGTATGAGTTCTCTGATGTCGAACAAGGTTAGATTTGCACCCAAAGGCTTTTCCACATTCATCACATTCATAAGGCCTTTCTCCAGTGTGAACTCTGCAGTGTTCAATGAGGTTTGAGCTTTGACTAAACGATTTTCCACATTCACCACACTTGTATGGTTTTTCTCCAGTATGAACTCTCTGGTGTGTAATAAGGGTGGCTTTTTGGCTAAAAGATTTTCCACATTCACTGCATTCATAAGGCCTTTCTCCAGCATGGACTCTCTGGAACGGAACAAGTGAGTATTTCTCTTGGAAGGCTGTTCCACATTTGCTAGCATCAAAACCCCCTTTTCCAGTGCAGACTCTTAGATGACGAACAAGTGTGTGTTTGTGGCTGGAAGTGTCTCTGCATGCTCCTGACTTACAATGATTTTTCCCACAGTGAAAGGCCTCCCCACACTCTCTGACTGTGTTTGGCTTCTCACCTTTGGGAATGGCCTGGGGCTGAAGAATGACCCACTTATCAGGGAAGTCCTTTCCAGTCTTCCTACAGAGGAAAGGATTCCCTGACACATGGAATATGCAGCTCTTCACAAAGGAGGCACTGTTCACTTCTCTTTTTAATGTGTTCTCTGCACTTTGATGTTTCTGTTCCTGGTGAAGGTTTTCACAGGCCCCAGAAAAGTACAGTTTCTGTCCAGGTAGATCATCCAGATGCAAAATATTCTTCAGGACTAGTATACAAATGTCACAGGGGTGAGTCTTTTGGAAAGATGGACTTTGTTTTGGAGTCCTGATGTGTGATGCTTCTTCTGCAGAAACCCTTGGCCCAGGAGGTATCCTTTCATCCTCTGCTTCATGCCAATAAACTGAAAAGAGACATACTGATGAAATGGGACACTGCCCCTCCCTATAGGGCTATCCAGTTCTTAACAGACAGCAAAGAGCTCAACTGAGTTAATGCAGTTAATACACTAGTTATTCAATCCAGAGCCCATCCTGCAGACCATGTTTCCCTGGCTTATACACCCCAGGAGAACAATCCTTAGCCCTAACTATCCTGGGACCAGGTACTGACAATTAAAGCCAGTTCCCTTTCCCAGAGCCCACTGAAATTATTCCAACGCACCCATATGAGCTGTTTCTACCCTTTATTGACTTTGCTACAAACCCAATAAAGGCTGTGCCCCAATATTCCCCTCTTGCTTTTGCCTCCTGACCACCTGTTGCTTACACACACCACCCTGCAAAGTGCAATGTACCTCTTTCTCTCAGAACTGTCATAAATTCTCCTTTCAATGGCATTTACTTCTCCCTATTGGCCCTCAGTCACCTCTTATAATTAAAATCCACAGGTACATATTAAGAAAATGGATACAGCAAGCAGGGTGGCCTGGGCCCTACAGCAGAGGTTCTGCTGTGATTACTGCATGGTTAGGCCATGACCATGTGCTGAGTGAGCACTGCTGACCACTGCTGTGCTTATACTTTGACTGGAACCTGCGTGGGCTGGGTCTTCCTTTTCTTGCTTCAGTTTTTTCAACCTAAATTGTTGCAGACTGACCCCACATTTTAGCACAGGGGAGGTTTTTGTGTTCCCAGTGTACCTGGGCCTAAATGCTTTAATGCAATGGGTGTCTCCAGGCCAGTGTGTTCCTGGGCATCTTATGGTAAGAAGGTAATGGGCTCCTGGTATAGTTCCAGGAAGTCAAAGGCCACTGACTAGCCTACAAGGTGAGAAGCCTCCAGTGGAAACAAGGAAAGGCTTCCCTAAAGATCACCAAAAATGACTAGATGAGTCTGATTCACTGAGCAGACAGCAGATAGCAGGTCACCATGACAGATGGCAGCAATGAGCCCAAGGGGTGTTTCTCATTTATTGTACATCCTATTCTTTACCTTAGTAAAAGGTCAGTCTGGGCAAAAAAATTCCTAGTTGACACCCCACTAGAATCATGACTGAATGTCTATGGCCTGGGACACTGCATGCTTAGCGGGCAAACTGTTGATTGCCCAGGGCCATCCCTACATACCAACCACTGGGTGCAGGTGCAGGGACCCCTTCCTACCACATGATCCAGGAAGTGCAGATGCTCCAAAGGCAAATCCTGGGGTTGCTTTAACCTGGTGCTATTATGCCTCATGGAAGGAAGGGTAGTTCCATATTTGGAAACCTGCAGCTCAATGTCTAATGAAAACATGGAAAAGGGCAAGGAATATTTATTTCACCTCCTCCTAAGACACTTGAGAAAATTTCTCAGCTCATTAGATTATAAATCTTCTGGTTAGTGTGCTTGGGCACATTTAAGTGCTGCTACTTATTAACGTGGTAAGAATTTCCCTTCAAACTAAACAGTCAAAAAACAAAGAATTTGAAAAATAAGCTAAGCTTCTATTGCTCTCCAGGATGTCAACTCGAGGTACTGCAAGGTCGATTAGAACACCCTAAGAGGGGAGACCTCCATTTTCAAGGTGCCATTCCTGCCAACAGAAGCTTTTCAGATAAGTATCCCACCTGACCACAGTGGGGTGGCACAGTTGACCATGCTGCAGGCAGAGGCCATCCAGGGAGAGGCTACTGCCTGCAGAACCCAGGCTCCTTCCCACCTCCTATTTGTCAGAAATGGAAACTATAAATCCAAAGCTTCAGGGAGCTAAAAGCCTAAAGAAGAAAATGAACAAAATATAAGACAGAAAGGAAAAAGTCCATGAAAACAAGAAAAACCCAACCTGCTAGGGATAGGGAGAAGATAATAATTAAATAAATTATTAATGTGTAAGTTTATATTTTCAATTTAAAAAATTAACAAAATTTAAAAAATTGCATTTGTCACAACCCCCTCACCTTGCTAAAATGTGGGGTCAGTCTGCAACAATTTATAAAATGTCAAAAAATCAAACAGAAACAAAAATCTTGATAAATTATGATAATGTGCAAGCTTATATTTTCAATATAAATAGACAGCAGAAAAATTGCATTTGTCACAAAATTAAAACCAAATTCCATAATTTTAACACAACTGTAAAGCCAAAACTTGCATATGAAAGAATGTAAACAAAAAGATGAGAGGACTGAAGGTATACCCTCAGTTATAGAGTGTTTGTCTAGCATGAATATGACCCTCCACTGGAAACAGGGAAAGGCTTCCCTAAAGATCACCAAAAATGACTAGATGAGTCTGATCCACTGAGCAGACAGCAGATAGCAGGTCACCAGGACTGATGGCAACAATGGGCATCTTATGGTAAGAATGTAATGGGCTCCTGGTGTAGTTTAATCCCCAGCACTGGGCTAGGGGGATGGATAAAGATTAAAGGGTGTTGATGGGAATTTGTGCTTCTACAAATGATTCTAAATTAACTTTAGTATTTATTAAAAGGTATCAATTTGACAAATTTCACAAATCAATCATTATTGGGGCTCAAATTATACTTAGAAATTGCCCTCAATTTAAATACTGTACTTTCTACAATTTTAATAAAAGTAACCAAATATAAAATAGGAAGATGGGTATATCTCATTTCAATTTTAGTATTGTATAAAACTAAAATTGAAATGAGATATACCCATCTCATTTCCACTACCTGAAAATATTTCATATTGGACGTAGATGCTCTAACATATAAATGTTTAAAGTAAATCTTTGACACAAACTAGCTTAGCAAAATGGTATTCCAAAGGCCCTCCATGTAAAACAGTTAATATAGACTGGGGATATTTCTCAATGGTAGTATGATTGCTTAACTTGTGCAAGGCCCTGGGTTTAATCCTCAGCATCAACCTCCCCTACCTCCAAATAGCCCAAAGCCCATAGTAAGTTAAAACTGGGTTTTCAAGGATTAAAAATTTACTATATAAAATCTAATTATCCATACTGCTTCTCTATTTGACAGTCCAATTGTGTCTGTTCCTAAACTTAAGGCTTCCAAATGATGAAGTGTCTTTTGTATGCTTATGAGATAACAACTTGCTGGGGTCCCTGCCAGCTTCAGATTGTGGGTGTCCCAAAAGACCAAGACCTGCCCTGAGGGTTGGAACTTCCAGCCTCATCCTTATTCACTAGATTAGGGAGAGGGGGCTGCAGATTAAGCTAATCATCAATTGGCAATGAGTAGATCAACCAGGCTAGGTAGTGGGAATGCCATAAACACCCTACAGTGAGGATTCAGAGAATCTCTGAGAAGAACGGATAGTGGCATGCTAGAAAGGGCATGAACGTTCCCTCTGCCCATACCTTTTCCTGTGCATCTCTTCCATTTAGCTATTCCTGAGTTGTATTCTTCCAAAAGTATTTTTCTAAGTTGTGTAAGTTATTGTAGGAAAATCAAATCTGAGGGTGTATGTGGGACCCTTGAATTTATAATTGCCTAGGCAGAAATAAAGTAGCTTGGGCACCCCATTTGTGGCTGGCATATGAAGTGGGGCAGTCTTTTGGGACTGTACCTTTAACTATTA